ATGTAAAGGTTATATTACGTATATTTTGACACAATCAAAAGACTTAAAATTTCTGCATTGCCATTATTGTCCCACATAACACCTAGCGGCTGATTCAGGGACACACTGAGTTATAAGACTATGGTATGGTTGGGGAAGATGATGTTGTAAGCTCCTCGGGAAAAGAAATATCTTTTTGATACTTGTAACTGATAACTGGTGTATCATATAAACTTATATTTTGCAAGTAATTTATAAAGTAATAAGTAAGACATGTAATATATCAAGGTAATAGATTTGTAAGGTAGGTCAAATGTTGTTGATCATAATACAAATCTGAACAAAGAGCAACCACAAAAGGACGTCCTAGGGGCAGTAATGAAGCAGCAGAATCAGTGCGCACATGGACTATTACTAATGCCTGTTCTGTCAATTAGCTGTCAGCATACTAGAGAAATTTTTTTTTTTTTCAGCTACTTTTAAAGGTGTTCTAGAACTAGACAACAGAAACTAGGAATGCAATCATTGAACAATGTTTTCAAAGAGTACTTATTTTACTCTGGTTTCTCTTTGCTCATGTTGTTTCCAAGGGCAACATCATGTGAAGAACACCATGTGCTTTGCATGGAAATTCTTTACTGCTGATATCAGATATTTACAGCTGTCTGACCAAAATACAAGGTTGGCTAAGCACACTCATTAAAGGAATGATCTTTGTTGAAGAGAAAAACCACACATGAGATTGCTCTTAGCGAGGTGAGATTTAATATGACTTCTTATTGTGAATATGTAGGTTTTATTATATAATAATTAGTTTTATAATATGTATATTATATTTACCAAATATTTTATGAATTTTATTTCATCACTTTCCTTTTGTATATATTAAATTAGAGAAGCTATAATGTCACTATGGCAAGTAGCAGTATCTACTATACTCACTATTGTGTATTTTTTTCATCTTGGTACTGCATTCCTTTCTAACTCATTGGTACACAACAATTCAATTAAGATTCCCACTATCTGAAAGCATATAAGCACTGTCTTATGCTTTGGTACTGTTTAATTTATTAGTAATTCCTCTCAAGGTTACACCCATAACTTTAGTATCATCTCAGTATAGTGTGCTATGCTATATACCCTAACAAATGAGATTAGTCATGACATATTTCATTAGTAGTGAAATAATGATTTATGTCCACAATGGTGATTTTATGACAAGCATCACCCAATGAAGAATATGTGGTACTTACTGTCTGATGATGAGTAGATTTTCCAAATACGCTGCTCTTTTTTACTATAAATCTACCTAGGGTGGAATATACAACTAGGTAGTGACAAAACAGAAAACCACTTCCTCGGCCTGCTAGATATCAAAAAATACTCCACATTTTATAGAGAACCCTAAACACTGGGTAGCTTTAAGGTTTCCCCAGTTAAAATCAAACCAGTGGCAGAGTGAGAATGAAACCCAATATTTTCACAACAGTACATCCTCCATTTTTACTTCCTTTGTTTCATTCCAATTCTAAAATTTCCACGAACTCCAACTCTCAGCTAAGAATGAAGTGAAAGATTCACAAATTCAATGTCAAAATATAAATAAGATCAGTTGCTTAGGCAGATGCTTCATACAAGAGGGAAGGCCAGGAAAACTTCACCTACTCATGCTATTATTAAAATTATTATTTTATTTCAGAAGAATGAAATTATAAACAATATGGCACCTTCTGAAAGAGCAGAAGGGATGCAAGAAAGTAATCAGAGACATGGGTAAGCTTCCACTAGATTTTATAATTTTTCCTAAAATTTTTAAACATACATTATCCTTTTCACAACTGGCACAAAAAGTTTTCCTTTTCAAAATTAACAGTTTTCATTTTGCTGTAATTTAATGTAATTGTTATTACCACTACTTAGTTGTTGTTACAACAGCTCCCACATTGGTTTCAGGATAATGAACTGTGACAGGAATTGTTGAGTTAGAACTTTGGATAGCTCCTCTCTTGAATTCCCTGGGGTAGAATAGACAGTGGAGGAAAGCAGAGCTTCATTTCAGCATTGACAGACACTTGACTCTTTGGTACATTCCTTTTACTAAAAAGATGCCTTTGTGCCTGTGTACAGTACACTGTACTCTATACACAAAATGCATTTTGCAGAGATACAAAATAGGAAGAGTTTTAAATCCTGTTTTCACTTTTGCCATAACTGCAGGTTATATTTGGATACATGTTCTGTATAACTGGAGAGCAACTCCCTAGTTCACATGGTTTGTTGATGCCAAAAATATCCAAAGAAAGGTCTCCCACCATTTTAGCAGTTTCAAACATTCACCAGTAAGTCACCACCTACCCTACGTGGCCTACTCAATCACAATGAGTGTGACATTTATTGCACATAAAAATGAGACCATGCTACATTTGTCTTTCTGTGCTTTTTTATTTGGTGTAGTGCCCTCTAGATTCATACGTTTCACATATGATATGATTCCTTTCTTTGAAATGCTGAGAGGGATGAAACATGTCTGCACTCCTAATACTATAAAGCTGAAGTAGGAGGACCTGGAGACCAGACTGAGTTATAATGAATCTCTAGCTCAAAAGATGGAGATAACTTAGTGTGCACTTCTCTTTTAGAGGACCCAAGTTGGGTTTCCAGAATACAGCATAGCTCACAAATGTCTGCAACCCCAGCTCCAGGGGATCCAACACCCACTTCACCCACCCATGAACAACCGCACACATGTACATTCAAAACACACACAAAAAAATTTCAAAATTTAATTCTTTTTAAAAAAATAAAGCAATAGGGGGTGGAATAATGGTGGTTTAGCAGTTAAGAGTCCTTACTGTTCTTGCAAAGAACCCAGGTTTGGTTCCAGTGCCCACGTGATAATTTAGAGCCATACGTTACTTCGGTAGCAGGGAATATGATGCTCTTTCCAAACTTCTATGGGTCCATGCATCACACATGATACACATACATGTATGCAGGCAAGACATGCATACACACTAAATGGATCTTTAAAATATAAATAAATGAATAAGAGAAGAAAGGCTGATTGTTACTGTGCAGTGTATCTATGCCACATACTTGTTGTCTCTCTGTCCACTGGTGGTCATTTCGGTTTTTCTAGTGTAAGTAGTCATGCACTAAGTGTGAATGTGCAGACAACTCTTCAGCAAACTGATTATAATTCCTTTCAAGAAATACTTGTAGTGGGATCACTTGGTTGTCCTATTTTTAATGGGGCATTTTGTATTTAATTTTTTCATTTATGTGCATGAGTGTATGTCTGCATGTATGCAGGTACCTGTGGAGGCGAGAGAGGTCAGATCCCTTGCAAATAGAGCCACACGTGGCTCCAAGCCCCGGGTGTGGGTGCTGGAAACAGGACTCTGATGCTCTGGAAGAGTGGAACATGCTCTTAACCATTTATCAAACCCTCCAGCCCAGCTATTTGTGGTTTTGTTACTGTTTTCTTTTGATCTGTGAGACAGGGTCTCTATCTATGTAGCCGTGGGCCGTCCTGAAACTCACTTAGTAGATCAGGCTGACCTGGAACTCAGAGAGACTAGCCTGCCTCTTCCTCCCAACTGTTGGGATTAAAGACATGAGGCACAATGCTTGGACTTGTTGGCAATTTTTAAGACATCCCCCATACTATTTTTCACAATGGCTGAATTAATGGTTACTATTTAAAATGTGAAAGATAAGTATTGAAAACCAAAAGAGTTGATTCCCACGCTCATATGCCTTTAATCGTTTGTGTGGTTGTTATTTTTCCATCTTGTTGAGCTGTTTTCTTATAAACTGAATGTTCCTTCTTTAATTTTGATATCGTTGATGATGGCAAGAGGGAGTGATGAGAAGACAATTTTTTTTAGATTTCATTTGAGGACTTCATGGAACTAGGGAGCAAAGAATCAGACAATCTGCCGGCATTTCCTCAGCATCATGACTTCATAGATGAGACTTTGAGTTTTGGATTCACAGTCAAGGTCACTCCCTGACTATGAAAACTAGAATTGTTTACTTTGTAGCTCAATTCACTCATCTTTAAAAACGGTCGCAGCCCACTGTTCTTGTGGGATTTTCATATACGGCTGTAACCCATAGAAATGAGTAGATTCATGGGAACACGACAGCAAACATTTGACAACTCGGAAAAACTAGAGAGGAGGAGGAGGCAGTTTTGCTGGTTATCAAGCTTAAATGGAACTGCACATTTGACTTCACTTGGAGGGGACAAGACTATAAAGGGGATGACAGAAAACAGTCCGTGGCAAGGATTAAAGGCTAGGTTGGATGATTTTGAAAAGCCAGATTCCTGGAATAAGGGGTGGCTCTGGCCTCAAAATCTGGGCAAGATTCTGACGAGGTAAGCATGACTCAGTTGACACCAAGAACAGAAATGTAGGTGCTTTGGGCCAAATAAAATTAATTATTAAATCACTAACTTACCTTGGCTTGCAGCCAAGCAGAGAGCACACTGGGCCGGTGTGCGGCGACCCTGACGACCTTGTTGTACACTGCACAATGGCAGCTGGGCAGCTGGACGGGAGGTAGCCTGTGGTTCCTCACTCACTTCTGGTAGAGAGGAAACAGTCATATAAACTGACGTAAACCCTGTGAAGGTCAAAAGCTGAGGTTAGCTGTGGGAAAATGGCTTTACACTTTCAAAGCACCAGGGTTTTGTTTGTCTGTTTTGTCTATGCCTTTCCCAGGACACTGGGCTGTACATAAACTAACCATTAGCCTGAGGCAGGAGAAGGAACACAGAAGTTAATCACAGTGACAAATTTGCACAGCTGGTCATCCATGAAGGCTGACAGAGGAGTATCAAAGCTGGAGAGAAGACATGGAAGGACACCTTTACCACAACTTACACTGTTCCCTTCTTAAAATGCTTTATGTGCTTCGGAAATGTGCATGTGCGGTAGGAATTTAATGTACAAAAGTCACGTGTTGCAGTCTGGCGTCCTCCAAATGTGAACTGAGTTATTTTCAAAGAGACGATGAAATTCCGAGTGTCCCACAAAATGCGCCTAAAAGAATTCCCTACTTGCAAAGATCTCACAACTGCTCTGAAGAACCGCATTAGAGATGGCAAGGGTATTGTTTTCCACTTCATGCCAAGCAAGATGTGACTGTCAGGAAGAAAAGACCAAGTGGTGGTAAGGTGTGAGCAGCAGACTCTTGTGCTGCCCCTAGGAAAATGCAGGAAACTACACACCCTTCCTTGAAATTTAAAACACAAGGCCAGCAAAGTGGTTCAGTGACTAAAACTGCTTGCAGAACAAGAGTTGTGCCTGCAGGTCAACCCCTGGATCCCACAGTGGAAGTAGAAAACTCCCAAAAGTTATTCTCTGTCCTCCATCCATGTGTTATGGCAGGAGCGCGCATGCACGCACGCACATACACACACACACACACACACACACACACACACACACACACCTCAAATAAATATCTTTTGATTAAAAATATAATTGATGTATGATTTAGCAACTCTATCTCTCCTCATGCACCCAAAAAGATTGAAAGCAGTGTATATATTTATAGTCTTCAAAGCATGGGTAGCAATGGCCAAAGCATGCAAGAACTCCTAGTGCGTATTAACTGATTCGAAGAGCTAAAAGAACATGGAAAACAGTAAGAATAGCAATCTGCCTTAAAATGGGGGATGGGGAATTCTGACAGACTGTGGCATGGAGGAAACCCAAAGCTATCCTGCTAAGTGGGTAATGCCAAAATGAGTCTTGGCGAGATTATAGTAACCACACAAGGGAAAGAAAGTATCACATGGGTCCACTTGAATGAGACATCTAGGGCTGTCAGGTTCACAGGAACAAGAAGCAGAATGGTGACTGAGGAAATAGGACAAGGAAAGGTTTTCAAGAGGCACAGGGAGTCAGAACTGAAGAAGAAGAGTTCTGTAGATGGTGTAAATAATGCTTTGGATGCCCTCATTGCTGTTTAAAATGGTTACAATGATGTCATCCGCTATGCATATTTTAATATAATTCAAACATTTTTCACCCCCAGATGCATGCATTCACTTCTATACAAAGAGCTATTGCCAATTTCCAGTGATTTTTCTTTAAAAAAATTATACTCCCTCTCATTAAATCAGCTTTTGAAATTTAATAATTTGCATAAATTTGCTGTCAAGGAAATTTGCCAAAATTTCACACTTTGGCAAAATGTTAATTGGAGAATTTTACAAATTATATTAATTTTCATATTTATTTTTCAGACCTCTGCAAGAACTGCCAAGAAAAAGCAGGAAATCAAACTGTTGGCCCTATTGAAATAGTAAGCAAAAGTAGAACACAAGTGTGTGCATTAGAAATTGTGGAAATTTACAGTAGCACATGGGATGCTCACATTTGTTTGGTAATTTACAGACTCTGTGTGGAAAAAATGTGGAAACAGAAAGGGATTCATCATAGTGACTGTCACAGCCAATTCTCTGTTGTATGAAGAGACACCAGGAACATGACAACTCTTATAAAAGAATGAATTAAACTGGAGGCTTGCTTACAGTTTCAGAGGGTTAGTTCATTGTCTTCATGTCAGGGAACATAGTGGCAGGCAGATATGGTGCTGGAAAAGTAATTGAGACCTACATCCTGATCCAGAGGCAGAAAGAGAGAGGAGATACTAAGACTGGTATGGGCTTTTGAAACCTACACCTGGTGATATACTTCCTCCAACAAAACCTCACCTCTTGATCTTTCTAATCTTTTGAAAGAGCTCTACTCTCTGGTGACTAAACATTCGAATATATGAGACTATGGGGGTTACTCTTATTCAAACCACCACAGTGAGCTTCCAAAATGACAAAAATAAAACTGTCTCGAGGCTTCACAGTAAGAGATAAGAGAAACATGCAGTATCTGCACAGCTTTCCAACAGCATAAAGTTCTAGATGTGGTGGGCATAAATGCTACCATAAATGCTCAACAACAATGACAGTTACTCATGATGTTCACTATGTTTGCAGTGGGGAAAGTTCTAATATATATGCATTAATATATGTTGCTAGCATACAAATTCTTTTTCAAATATCTCTTTCTATTTTTTATTCTTTGAGAATACCATATATGTATATAATGAATTTTGATCAAATCAACCTCCAATTTATTCTTCAATTTTTTTTTTCCAAATCACATCCCACCATCATTCTCTCCCATCCTCATGTGCCATTTTATAACAATCCTCTGAGTCCACCTGGTGCTGCCAGTATGTGTGGGGATGCAGGACTTTCTATTGTAACATGGGTATCCTCTTATGGCATCATCCCTGAAGACAGCTAACTCTCCCTAGTTTATAAGTCATCAATTGTCAATGGCTCCTGTTAAGGGTGGGACTTCATGGACCTCTTCTGAATTCATTCTGGGGATTTTGTTTGGCTTGATCCTGTGTAGTTTTTGGGCATGCAGTCCCAAAAACTGTGAGTTCATGTGTGCCGTAGCCTTGTCATATCTGTAAAATGCTACCCTCTGGATGTTAATACTATATTCTTTAAAAAATTTTCTGCTTCCTCTTCCACAAAGATTCCTGAGATTTGGAAAGAGGGAGGATCCTACTTAGAGCTAAGCACTCAACAGTTTCTTATTCTCATCATATTGATCAGTGGTGGGTTCCTGTATTAATTACCATATACTTTAAAAAAGAAGTTTCTCTAATGAGAGTTAAGAAATGCACTAAACGTATGGGTATAAATATAGAACTTGGGGACAGTTTAATTCTATATCCATTTATCAGAATTATACTATTAGGTTCTCCCCTAAAGTCTGCAACCTACCAAGTAATTGGATTTTGCCCAACTGACAGTAAAGGCTTGATTTACATCTGTGGAACAGACCTTAAATCCATTCAGTAAGTAATTGGTTATGCCCATGATGTTTGTGTCACTAATACACCATTAGACCTATCTTGCCAAGTCAGTTGTTATTGTAGCTCAGAGGGTTTACATTTGGGTGAAGTTTGCTGCTTCTTTTCTCTCACCATAGCTAGAATAACACCTCCTAGTCAGAAGTGATAAAGCTTTTAATGGAACAAAAAGTGGTTGGGGGGGTGAGAGTGAGCATAGAAGAGAAAATACTAAGAAGGGATGAGTAGCACTAACAACTTTTAAAAACACCATATGGACACCTACTACCGTAGAAACTTTTATATGTGTGTATACACACATGTATATATACACATGCATATGTGTATAAGTGTGTGAGTATATATATACTTGTATGTATGTACACACACATGCACACACACATACACACACACACACACACACACACATATA